TTTCCTCCGACATTCCAAAAACATGCATGGCAGGTTAATGGAACACTCTAAATTGTCCTTAGGCGTGATTGTGTGCACAGATGGTTGTTCATTTCTGTGTGCCCTGCGAATGGCTGGCAACCAGTTCAGGGTGTCCCCCCCATCTACTGCCCAAAGACAGCTGGGATAGGCTCCAGCGACCCTTGTGAAGATAACCGGATCAGAAAATGGATGGATGGATGGTCAGAGAACACAAGCCCTGCTAGGAAAGTCAAAGGTTCAGCTCCATCCACAGGTTCTCTATCGGTTGAGATCTAAAGACTGACCAAGTCCCTCCAACCTTAATGTGCTTCGTCTTGAGCCACTCTTTACTGTGATAGTGTTTTGGGTAATTTTCATCAAGGAACATTTATCCACAGCCACAATGTGTTGCCAACGTTTTTTTTGAGTGACTGGGATCCATTTGGCGTCGACCTCACAGTGCAGTGGTCGTGGGTTCGATCCCGGCTCTGGCCTCCCTGTGTGGAGTTTGCATGTTCTCCCCGGGCCTGCGTGGGTTTTCTCCGGGTACTCCGGTTTCCTCCCACATTCTAAAAACATGCATGGCAGGCTGATTGAACGCTCAAAATTGTCCCTTGGTGTGAGTGTGAACGCGGGAGGTGGTTTGTCTCTGTGTACCCTGCGATTGGTTGGCAACCGGTGCAGGGTGTCCTCCGCCTACTGCCCGAAGACAGCTGGGGTAGGCTCCAGCACCCACCGCGACCCTTGTGAGGATAAGCGGATCGGAAAATGAATGGATGAATGAATGAGATCCATTTGCCCCCAGGAACAGGTTCCGTCCATGTACTTTGATCCTGTTTCATTTACCTTTCACGTGATTATCCTCACTCTCCAAGGCAAGATTTTGAATGGAGATCCTGACCAAGAGCAAATGGTTGTTATTTTTGTGTGTCTAGCAATTTCAAATATCGCTTACTGTAGCTGTCACCTTCTCACCCAGCACTTTGCTCATTTGTGATTTGTCTTGTCCATGGTGATATGGAAAAAAATGGAGTGAACAAATTCCTGGAACAAGAGATACACATTGAAGAGTTGCGATCAAGAGTAATTGGTTGTGCACCAGCCAATCCGTGGGAGCCATAACTCTGGCTACATTGCAAAATACCGATAAGATTTATACATTTTATAATCTATTACCCTGTGATTCGCTGGCAACCAGTTCGGGGTGTCCCCCACCTACTGCCCGAAGACAGCTGGGATAGGCTCCGGCACGCGCCACGACCCTTGTGAGGAGAAGCGTATCAGAAAATGGATGGATGGATGTTCTATTACCATAATTAATAAATAACAGCAAAATTGTATCCTACTAATTAATAGTGTGTCCCCCGTCATGGGCCATATTCACATTCAAATGTCGCACAAAGCACAGTTTAAGTGTGCTCATGGGTAGAGTTTTCTTTATTTTGGTATTTTGCTAGACTTTGCACAGGTAGAATTGGGCATTAAAAAAACAGTTGTGCCGTTGTAGGATGGATTGTAGTCTTTCTTTCTTTCTTTTTTATTGTTTATTTCGAATACTTTTGCACTGTACTGTGCATTTTTATGTCATGAAACAAGTACTAAATAATTTTGTACTGTATTGCGTGTTTTTAGGTTATGAAAAGGGTACTGAACGGAGGACCCCTGAACCCATAAATTAAGTTAAATCTTACTTCCTCTGTATCAGTGTGTGCAGATCACTAATGATGTTTTTGGCTTGTGGAAGTTGGCTGAAACATGTCGGCTCTCTAGCCCTGTGAGGGTGAATTTGAAATTTGATTGGTTGCAGAAACAGCACCGTTGCTCATATGCTTTAAGTTATATCCCCTACCGATTTTGAACATCCTGGTCAGATTATTTTGAATTCCAGGCTCATATCTGATAACTGTTGCAGATAAATAAATACAATGTAGTAGAGCACGTGTTAAAGTCTACATTAGAAATGTAGGCCAGTGCTTCAGATTGTATTTAGGTTAGCCACCTTAACCGTTTTGCCTCACTCTTCTGTTTTATTGTTTATGTTGTAAGGAAGCCGGTCAGTGTAGGTAGGCACGCGTCGCCCCCTCCCCTCCCCCCCCCTTATTAGAATATCAACAGGGTCACCCCCCCTCCCCCACTTCAACAATCACCACACGTGCACGTTGCACTATGCTTATCCTCGAGTAGCTGGAACACAAGATAAGATCCCGCAACTTGACGTCTGAGAGCAAGGGTACAACCTGGATTGGCCCGCATCCAATCATAATATTGTTTTGCTAAATCCTTCATCAATTGCCTTTTTCTGAAACGTCATTTTATTATGAAACGTCAATTATTATATAATATAATACAATATAATATAATATAATGATGTCAAATAAAAGCGGTTTCAGTGAGTAACTCCACACACTCCAAAGAGTTTCTTCCAATTTTAGCAAGGATGAACCAGCTTTATAGTATGTAAACAACAGATGAGGTGTGTTTAACCTCCACCACCTCGTGCAAACGACAGGTGCTGCAACGGCCTGCCCACCCGGGTGCTCCCTTGAAAAAGTGGATTTGGTGTATGCTTGTATGCGTTGGGGAGGGGGCGGGGGGTGATATGAGTGTGTGTGTGTGTGTGTGTGTGTGTGTGTGTGCGTGCGCGCGTTGGGGTCATGCTCTGGGAAACAATAGCCGGGTTGGCGCCGCACACGACCGACCATGTGCCGTTGATTTTCATACAGCTGTTCGCCTGGGGGCCAGACAAAGGTAACGTGATACGCGCGCGCACACGCGCCCGCGCGCACGCACGTACGCGTGCTTGAAGGCGTCTAAATAGCATCTCGCCGCACAATACGGTCCTATCCAGGGACCTGCCGCCACCCCCTTTTGTCTCCCCCACGCGTCAGAGCAATTATAAGGTTTAGTGCTGAACAAAAAAAAAGGGAGGACCATGTGCCATCCCTTCTGGTCTTTGTTTACTGGCCCCCAACAATAGGAAAGAAAGAAAGAAAGAAAGAAAGAAAGAAAGAACGTGTTGAGCTGGCAATGTGGAGTAAAATATTTTGACTGGCAAATACGTTTGAACATACGCGCAAGTACGTTCAAATGTAAGTGTGTTCGAAAATATTTGCGAATGATTTTGAATATTTGCGAATGAGTTCGAGTGTACAGTATTCGCAAATACCAAATGTAGCATTTTCCCATAATGCCACGGGGTATTGGCTTGCGCAAGCATTATGGGGAAAAATTCCAAATGTAAATCATGCACTGCAGCCATAATAAAAAAAAAAATCAAATTAAGAATAAACAACGTTTACTTAGTTATCTTTTAACATATTGCTATTGGTAAAATTAGATTTAAGTTTTTTTCCCATAATGCCACAAGGTATGCGCATGTGGAAGTCACTACCTCGCCATTGCAGAAAAATGCTACTTTGGAACATTTAGCCGACAAATACGTTTGAACGTATTTTCCAGTCAAATATATTTTTCCACATTGCCAGCACCACGCTTCCAAAAGAAAGAAAGAAAGAAAAAATACTAAAAGGTGTGGTTGATGATTACTTTTCAACATGTTAATTAAAATAAAAGATACGGAAAATCGCTAGGCTCATTCCTAAATTTCACGTTTAACATTTTTTTGGGGGGTTCAGACACTGCATTTCCATGTATTCATTTGTATTCAACAAATCCATAAACAGACACACTCTTTGCATTAGCAAATCATGTTTTTACAAAAGGTGAGTGTAGAAAGTTGTGCGAGTGTGGGAGTCAGCGATGTCACTCTTAATGAGTAAAGCATTCGTTGAGTAAAAAAATAAATAAAAATAAAAAAACAGAAAGCGGCCAGTGGCATAGCTTACGTTTGTCATCGACATATTTGTGAGAAAGCCTCAAAAAGGTACGGTGGACCAGGCAGCAAAAACATCATTTAATGAAATAATTTAGAGTGAGTTCGGAAATTAAGGCCACTTTGTCCTATTATGAAACATAAACTTGAGGATATTATATTATATATTATTAGTTTAAAAGTATTAAATTAAGTAACATGTACCTTTTCAACTCTTTTTTTAATCGCATATTGTGATGAAAAGTGTCAGTCACGTCACTCTCCACTTGATCGTAGTTTGGACATTATAAGATAGCGAATAAGTAAAGCCCCAAATTTATGAACGATTCTGATTATTACAAACTTCCCATTTGCTTTAAATTGATTACTGGACAAGTCAATCGGGGCCGATTCACAACATAAAACGTGGCATAAACCCTTCGCCAAAACTTGGGCTAATTTAACTCGTGTCACAAATCTCTATTCAATGATCTGATCTCTTTCGATATATAGGTGGTGGTTTGACTTTTTTGTAATACAGTGATCCCTCGCTCTAACGCGGTTCACTTTCCGCGGCTTCGCTGTTTCACTGATTTTTTTAGTGCATTTTTTTTAAATGCTTTTAACCCTTTAAATCAGAACGCATAGGCGGCGCCACGTGTCAACAGTACAGTATTTCCAAAAACTATTATAGTTGTTGAAAACGTTTGTTTTTTTTTTTTTGTAATTGGGCACGAAAACAGGTTTTGATCTTTGATTTCATTGTATATATAGTTAAGTATTGTATAATAACTGTAAAAAAAATAATGTTCACTACTTCGCGGATTTCACTTATCACTGGTACTTTTTGGAACGTAACCTCCGCGATAAACGAGGGATTACTGTATACCCTCATAGTATGTAACGTGTTATGATCTCAGGTTTTGGACAAGTGTGACAGCGGTTTGGGCAACGTGTGCATGTCTGATGTTGCTCACCGTGGTCCAAGAAACACTCAGAGAGTTTACGTGGAATGCTCAGACACATGGAAAATTAGAGGGAACAATAGTCCAGATGTATCGTGGGTTGTCTAAATCCCCAGGCAGACCCGTACCGTGTCAGGCTGCTCCCCTGAGGTCTGCTCCGGCTCCACCTCCTTGGCCGTGACGCGCGCCATGGTGGGATATAAAAACCAATCTTTACGCAGCAGAAATCAAAACAAAGTAGAGTGCGGAGGGAAGATAGTGTTAGCGAGAAAAGAGGAAAAACCACGCAAAGGGCACTAAAGGGATCGGATAGTTCAGCGTAATTCGTGTTTTGGGGGATTGGTATACGTTTCGGGGATTTTTGTGGAATTACTGCGCACGACGAATGACTGCATCCACTTAAATTTGGGAAGCAAGGAACAAACAAAAAAAAAGTCTGAGAGGAAATGGCACATGTACACCTGAGATACCTTTTGGCTTGGTCGTTGGTGAACATTGTAAGTGGATTTATTAAACTGGAGTCATTTTAACCGCGCGCAGATTTGTGTTTATGTTATTCTGATCTGTCGTTTCAGGTGTTATCTTCCGGAGTGTTTGAGCTGAAAATCAATTCATTCCACACGGCACAGCGCATTTGCAGGAGACATCGGGACTGTCACATATTTTTTAGAATTTGCCTCAAGCACCCGGAAGATGTTATCTCTGCAGAGCCGCCGTGCACGTTTGGGACCGGCCAAACTAATGTCATCAGGGCGGATCACACGTCAATCTCCAGCAGTGCCCCAATCAGGGTGCCTTTCCACTTCAAATGGCCGGTAAATGCAACATCGCGAAAAAATAACGAAATCAGCGGAGACAAGGGGGACATCAGATGAAATCGTTCATGTATCCTGTCAAAAATGTTTCAGGGGACATTTTCGTTGATCATTGAGGCTTGGAACGCAGAATCCCCAACTGAATACACAGGTATCCTCCATTTTTTTGGTTGAAGGTGAAATTGTAACTTTATTGTGAATGTGTGTTTTTTTTAATCAATTCCAACTTCTGTATGCAGACAACCAAAACAATCTGGTCAATCGCCTGGCGACCAGGAGGAGACTCGCCATCGGGGAGGATTGGTCCCAGGATGTGCACTTCGGAGAGCAGAGTGAACTGCGTTATTCTTACCACGTCTTCTGTGACGAATACTACTTCGGAGACGGATGTGCCGAGTACTGCAGGCCGCGGGATGACACACTGGGACACTACACCTGTGACGACGAGGGCAACCGCATCTGCCTGGAGGGCTGGAAAGGAAACTACTGCTCTGAACGTAAGTGGCTGCTCAGTCATTCGCATGCGCAAACACACACCCAGCAGTTCTACATGGGTGAGTTGTTGAATAATATTGATGACCTGCTTCAAGTCCATGCGCTTGCTATACACTCTTTTATCCTGACTCGTGGGATGATTTTGGAGACAAAACTGGGCAGTTGACATCACTGGGTTATTACAAGTGAAGTGTGATCAAATTCTACGATAGTTAACATCAAGAACACAGGTGTCAAACACAGGTCCCGGGGGCCCGACACGGCCTGCCACAACCTTTGATGTGGACAGGCAATGTCAATCATGTGCATTGAGTAGCCCGACACGTTTCTTGCAAAAATAGCAAAAATTGCAAGTTGTCTTTTTGACTTTAAATAACCTTGAGACATTGCAAGCATTTTTGTCAGCACCCCCCGACCCCCCTTTAAAATAAACTGAACTCTAGTAGTAATTTTTTACAGGCTTTTGATTTCAAAACTGGTTATCCATCAATTTGTTGTGCATATGTGATAATTTCAGGTGATCATACATTTATTTGGGTTCAGTCATGATGGTCCTCCATGCATTGTGACAAAATAAATTTGACACCCCAGATCTATAACTCCACTATACTAGTTGCATGCCACAATTGTCAAAGCACTAGTAATTTTTATTCCACTACTGCCTTTCAGTACTGTGCTTTTTTTTTAACATTTCTGCACACAAGTAGGGCAATTTTAACATAAAAGGACAATTACATGTTACTAGTGAGGCAAAAGTGTGCACTAGTTGTCACCTGTATTTTACAAGTAGGCTACTACAAGTGCTGGATGTTAACCCTTTCATGCACCCTGTAACCTGATAACATGATAAGCTGTCCAGTGTAGGAACCGCTGTCTCCGAAAGGGTTAAAATAGCAGAATTTTATAGTGTTTCACCCATACTAGTAACCACCCAGGTGTCAACTTTTGGTCAGTTTGACCTCAATAGTACTATAGTTGTCTTACTAGTATACCTGGGTTATTCTACTAGTGTGCAAAATTGTCAGTGATGGACGGTAGAACTGGAAAAAAAAAAAACATTCCCGGTACTTGTAGTGCGTCCTTGTTGTAAGAGTAGTGCAATGACTTGGCTTCCCAAAGAGGACAAAGACCAATCTAGTGCATGCTCAAACCTGCAGTCCAATAAGTAGTTCATAGTGCACACGACTGATGTAAGTATACCGTGTGTATATTCGTCCTCTTATGTTTCCAAACTATTCCACAAGGACCATTACACCTAATTAAGTCAACCCAACTAGTATGCTTACGATAGTCTCTCAAGGGGAAATTGAAATGACTCTTTGCTGTATATTTTTGCTGCACACTGCATAAAACCCGACAACACATGTGCAGGCATGCATGCAAGGAGAGATGTCTGAGTGAAAGGAGCATCTAAATAGCAGCCAGGAGGCAAACTAACATTTTTCCAACAACTTGCTGCTGTTTTTTTTTTTACTTCGCACAAAATGTCTTAAACTGTGGCCCAAATCATTTCAGATGAGGAACTGCCATCCTCATAAGGAATAGCTCTCATCTTAACAACGACAGTACACTACTGCAAACCAACAATGTTAAATGAGCGCCTCTCTGTCACATGCTTCTTATGCGATCAAAGCCAGAATAGAGTTGAACATGATATCATTTTTATCACAATGAGTAATCCTGAAAATAGTGGACACCAGCAATGTACAAGACAAACAAATGACAAAATACGGTTGAAGGCAGCAAAAAGCAGGAAGCATGACAACCACACACGAATTAAATCGTGTATATTGCATTGCGTTATTTTGTGCAAATGGACCCTGATGAGTGTCCAATTTGTAGTTCATTGAGACAATCAGGAATGGTTATTTTGTTTCAATTCAAAGTTAATTATGTTCACCCTTTCAGGGACAGTGGTTACTACAGTGGACAGCTTATCCTCTTATCGGGTTACAGGGTGGATGAAAGGGTTCATTGAGACAAAAGTTCATCCTTCTTGGGGAAACTTGACACAACATGTAATCAAGTGTGTTGTTATATCTGGACCCCCCCCAAAGAGAAACTTGAAACTGTAGTTTTTTTTTTTTTTATGTTAATGACAAGTTGTAAAGTTTTTTTCCCCATCTGCCTTATGTTTTCTGCTGCAATAACAAAAAAGGCATTGGGGTAGCACAGACTTAAAATAGAAAAAAAAAACATTTTCAAGGTTATCTGTTTGCATACAGTGAGGAGATTTTAAGAAGAAGAAGAAAGCATCCCCAGGCAGTGTGCCTGCCAGCTGCTTAGCTTAATACTTAACTAACAGTGAAGTCTGGAAGGATGGTGGGGGTCAGACAGGGGGCCCCTAAATGTATGTATAAGATGTAAGGCGTGCCTATTGTAATCACACACCCTCTCCTCTCTCCCCTCCCCCTTAGCCATCTGCTCGGCGGACTGCAGTGAGAGGCACGGCTACTGTGAGGCCCCAGGGGGCTGTAAATGTCGCATGGGTTGGCAGGGTCCCTCCTGCAGCGAGTGCGTACGCTACCCGGGCTGCCTCCACGGCACCTGCAGCCAGCCGTGGCAGTGTAACTGTCAGGAGGGCTGGGGGGGCCTCTTCTGTGACCAGGATCTTAACTACTGCACCAACCACAAGCCGTGTTCCCATGGTGCAACCTGCACCAATACTGGTCAGGGAAGCTACACTTGTACCTGCAGGCCTGGTTATGGGGGCACTAACTGTGAGATGGAAACCAATGAGTGTGACAGCAACCCCTGCAAAAATGGAGGCAGCTGCAATGTAAGTTTCCCATGTAAAAAAGTGTATTCATTCTAAAGCAGACTCATATAAAAAAAAGATTATTCCCAAGCAGACTCATTAAAAAAATATTATTCTACTGCGATAATCCAACTGTTTAGTGCAATGGTCAAAGGGCACCCGTTCTCCAATAAATAAATAAAAATCAATGTTAATGTTAGTATGATAAGTTAAAATAGCATCCCTGGTTTTGGATACATTATTTGAAGAAGTGGTTAAGTATACAGGTGGAATCTAATTTCACACATTATTGCGAGATTTAACACTTTCCAGTAATATAACTGGATTATACTGAACTTTTCATGTTTATGCTCTTCATTTGAAAATATATCTGTACTTTCTACTCCACGCTTTGTCAAAATAGGCAAAAAAAAAAGACTTAAATAGAGTCACCAAGTGCTCTGCAAGTTGCCAGAAGATGGAAACAATTTTTTGGACAGAGAAGTGTTTTGTTTTGTTTTTGTGCCGAATTATCAAAAGAGATATTGAATTTAGACAATTAAAACTAATTTTCACTTTTGTCCTGAAGTACATTGACTTTTAACAGAGTTGGATAAGTACTATATTTAGAGTACTGCAGAGTATAGCTCTTTTGCACAAGGATCTGTACTTATACTGAAAAGAAGAGTGTGAGTACTTTTGTCAGCTCTATAACAGTACCAGACTTTTATTCCTATGCTGACTGAAAATTAGGTCAATTATTTGAAAAAGCAATTTAAGTAAATAACACAGATAGCTTTATTTGACTCGATTGCATACAATTTGGATTCGTACTTCAATTAAATTGAAGGTCGGAAACATCGACTGAATTCTACTTTCAAGCTTACAGACAAAGGGACGAGGAAACCTCGGAATGATTCGCCCGTCTATTTAATGCTTCCAAACATTAAGGTCGACGTTTTTTTCCGCAGGACCTCGAAAACGACTACTCGTGCACCTGCCCACAAGGATTCTACGGCAAAAACTGTGAAATCATAGCAATGACGTGTGCGGATGGTCCCTGCTTCAATGGCGGCACGTGTGTGGAGACCATGACGGGGGGTTACACCTGCCGCTGCCCGCCCAGCTACACCGGCTCCAACTGTGAGAAAAAACTGGATCGCTGCAGCAATAGGCCCTGTTTAAACGGTACGATGGCGCCCCCTTGTGACTAACATATAAACCTGCAGTTTTAGAAAAATTGGTCTTTGCCTCGCTTAACCCTCAGGGTTTCTTCGAATTTATCATTTAGTTTCTTTGTTTTATTACACGCAATGTTTACTAACATTATTTAAAAAACATTCAAATACCACTTTGTACAATGTCCATATTGTACGCAAAGATAGATAGATAGATAAACTGTACCACGTTTGGCAACCGCTGATTCACATATCAATTCAAAAAATTGTTGTGGAAAACGGTTATTGGAGGTTTATCCATTTTTTCAAGCATTCCTTTGGGGTAACATTTTTTTAAATTCTTAAAACAAATTGTTTTCCTTATTGCTATTAGGGCAGTCTTTCTACAGACAGAGGAGGGTGCATCCCTGACGGAAATTAAAACGTGTTTCTTCTCTATTGTCTGAGAGGGTCTCTCTAATTCTCCAAAAAAAAAAAAAAAGAAAAAAAAAAGAATATGAATTTGTGAAAAAAAAAATAATTTGTACAAAAATGGAAAAGGATGTAATTTGTTGACAGTCGAGACTGAAATCTATTTTGTATTATTCAATCCAGTAAATAACAAGAAATTAAAATAGATAGTTTTCAGTTCAATTGGTCAAAGGTTGCCATGATTGAGCCAAAAAGAACAATATGAATTGAACAGGATATTACTGAGATATTTAAAGAGCTGAAATTGGAAATTACAACATCAGACAAAAATCCCCACCTTGTGAAGTTTCAGTATCGCATTAACACAGCTAAAATGGTTCAAAAAAGGAAGTAAGGTCGACATAAAGTAAATTGCCAGCATAGACCCAAGAGGTTGAAATGCACACACACAGCCTTTTTGTGTCTGATTCTAAACAATTGCGTTTCCCTCTCAGGTGGCGAGTGTCTGGACCTCGGCCAGAGTGTTCTCTGCCGCTGTCATGCCGGCTTCACTGGTGCCAACTGCCAACTCAACATCGATGACTGTGCCTCAAATCCCTGCCAGAATGCCGGGACCTGTCAAGATGTTGTCAATGACTACATTTGCTCCTGCACCTTAGGCTACACTGGCAAGAACTGCAGCGTGCGCTCCGACGCATGCGGAGAACGCCCTTGTCAGAACGGTGGCACTTGCTTCACTCATTTCACAGGGCCCGTATGCCAATGCCCGAAAGGATTTATGGGTCCAAGTTGTGAGTTCACACTACAGCCCAGTTTCAAGCCTGCTTTGCGCCAAACTTTCCAGCCATCTTCGGCCACGCTGACCATCTCCTGCATTCTTGCCATCCTGGTCGTTGCTCTCGTGGCCGGTATTATCTTGCTAAGGAGGCGCAGGAGGCTGCCAGGAAGGAAGCAGCTCAGCGACACAGCAGTTTACAATGACCTGGAGACGGTGAACAACTTGGGGGGAAGCGAGAGAGACTCCTTCCTCAGCTCGAACGGTCTGTTCAAGATCAGCAATAGCACAGCCCGCCTCAGCTTCGCCCCGTGTTCGGAAGGAAGGTCAGGGTACAGGCACAACCCTGTGGAGAGCAGGGCGGATTTTATATGGCGGGACGAGGCAGGACTGGGTTCACTTGCTGGCCTAAGATGAACTGAATTTGGGGAGAACACAAGAAGACAAATATTAGCACTTGTTGCTCCCTTTTCTTGATGTAAGGAGCAAAATTGACGAGTCGAAACCCACTGTACTCCAAACAATGGACTAGTCTGTAGAAGATAATTTACAAAGATTATTAAAAGAATTATACGGGGCACACCTTTCGCAGTGAAGACCCAAAGAGACAACTATTAAGAGCCATCTTTTGCAGGACCTACAACTAAAACCAAATACATGAACTTACCGTAATGAACTGCTTTGGAGAATTTGCCCCCAGGTGTATGACTTTGTTTAAATTTCATTGTCTTTTTTTTTTCAGATTGATTTTATTTTATTTTGCTTTTCAATCTTTATTTTATTTTGCTTTTCAATCTTCCTTTGCTCATTTTTTCCTTATTGTGCGCACCATCATTTTTAGACTTTATTATTTATTTATTTGAAAAACTATTGTTTAAGGCTTCACTTTGATTGTGACAGAAATATATTTATACGATGCTGAATGAGGACAAACATCATTTTTTTTTGTTTTTTTCTTTTGTTTTATGGGCAATTGAAAATAAAATATCCCAAACGTATTCATGGCAGGGGTATAAGGTTTGACTGCATTTGACTGCAAACAACATTGCCCTGTCATGTGCCAGTGTTTGCGTTCATGCCAAAGTTTGTGTGGTGTTATGTGTTTTCATTCATATTTAAGTTGATCATAATGTGGATTTGTTACGAAATAAAAGATGTTTGATATAATACAATGACGTTTGAGACAAATGCTTTACAAACAGGGGAGACTGGGGCTGGATGTCACAGTTTTTAGACTTTTATATCTTTCTTGGAATCAATACATCATTTATAAACAAAATGTGTGTGACATGGAAGACCAACGTCTCAGGTATGTACCTTTATTTTGCATTCATGTCATTGTCACATTTTATGTCAGTGCAGAATATGAGCGATCAAGTAGAGAGCGTCAACCGTGACATTTTGCCACCATAAATGGGGTAAAATGTCACACAGGATTTTGCAATTAATAAAACAAGGACCAAAATGTTGCTGTTCTATTTTTATGAAACATGAGAAAACGAACATTGGAAATAAGCCAAAGAAAAATTCATTGAATATTGCCACTGAACAAACGGAAACATAAAATGTTATGCAACATGCAGCGGATTTAAGTGCTTAGGAACTGCAGGCACGTAGGCCATGATTCTCTGTCTCAAATTCCTCTTTGTTTTGCCTTCGTCAAACTGAAAATTAAACAATAAGTTGAATTGCAAATAAGAAAGCGTTCATCATGAAACTTTAATCAGTACCGGACTGAAATGTGGACATACTGGGTTACAGTTTTCATTGGCCCAATCTCAAGTGACAACTAAAAAAGACGTGTTGGCCCAAAGTGCCATGATTGCTAATGCTAGCTGTAGTTTTAAATTAGCTTAAAACAGAACAATGACGAAGGTATGAGGAGATACCTGAATCTCTCCTCCAACGTAAAATCCACACTGCTAGGATTTTTATCTGGGAGACATTGCTTCAAAATGTACAGTTAAGTTTTTTATTTTTTACTTTGGGTTGTGCAAACTGATGAATTGGCACTCATCTCAGCTGGCAATGTGCTATTCTCTTGTCAAACTAGACTTAATCCATGTAAAGGAAGAAAACCAGCATTACCCTACTTAGCTGCGTCCTCTGGTGGAAAAAATAACACTGGACAACATTTTTTTGAAATCGGAGACGCAAGTAAACTTTTTTAGATGAATAAATGGAATTTTCTTCGGAAACGTCATAAACTTAAATTGTTACAATGCATGGTAAAATCCATATTCCTCGAGCTTTTATAGGTCAGTCTTTTTTTTAATGTAAATATCACAAAAACCTGATCTGCTAGAATAAGAGTGAAGGCATTCTTCAATCAGCATCACAAATACTTTATAAAACAATACACATCACTGATTAAATTTTGCTGTTGACCACTGTAATTGCAATGTGAGATGATTTATATCCGATTGACACCTTAAATGTGAATGATTTGCAGAAAACTATTCAATTGATTTTAACCATTTGAAATAAAATGAACATTTTAAAAGCCCCACAATTCCTAAATTTGTGAACTCAAACAAACCTATAGATTTTGGATCTTATTTTACATCATGTAAGCTGTCTTTGTTTTATGGTGCATGTGCACGCTGCCATCTACAGTGGTGACATTTGTGTGACTGCATTCATGTTGACAGTTGAGCAGAGCTTCGTTTCAGCATATTCATAGCCACAGGGTTCGAGAGCAAAGATTAAGCTTGACTTGTCACAATTTGTAAGGCACATTTTATATACTTGGCAGGGTTGTTAACAATAATCTTCTTTGTGGTATTTAAAATTGACAGGATATTTATTTAGTGTAGCAAATGAAGAAATGACAAAACTTGCTAAACTACATTCAGTTGGGTGGAGCTGAACGCTCTCGCTGCCTGCAACTCTTCTAAAGCAAAGTGATCTAAGCAATGTGTTTAACTTACCTTCAATGCCCACTGTAACGGGCATTCCCCCCATGACCTGGGCTTCGGTGGCATTCAATAGAGTGGCAGGCCATGAGAAGATTTTGGATTTAAGGGTAAGCACCCCTTATGGGAACTTTACCAAAAAGTGTTTTTTTTTTTTTCTTTTGCAAAGGCCCAGCTTGAGTGACTGACTGATTGATTGATCAATTGATTGTGACCCAACTGGTTGAGATAGATGGCTGCCCCACATTGAGTCTTTGGTCTGCTCGAGGTTTCATCCCTTCGGGGATGTTTTTCCTTGCCCCCGTCACCCGGTTACGCTTGCTCATGTGGAATTTAGTTGGGATTCATTTGAGGTGCATTTTGGGCTCAGTTAATCTTTTAATGAGTCAGATGTGTGGTGTTTGATCTGCCCCATGTGTAAAACCCCCTGAGACAACTTCTGTTTTAATTTGGTGCCATATAAATAAAAATGAATTGAATTGAATATTGATTGAGATCTCAGAGACACAAGGTGGAAAACTGACAGCAGCGACATGGACATCCATGAACCAGGGAGCATTAAGAATTGAATTGAATTGAACTGAATACAACTTTATTGTCAAACAATGATGCAATAGATTTAGAGAAGCAAGATATTCCCCATCCATCAGCGGCCGTTTTTAAAGATGATTGTTTAATGCTGTCGGTTTCAAGAAGCATTCGCGGTGAATGCGTTGTGTCTTGTGACAGTCGAGAAACCACCAGCTTTGGTCATTCAAAATTTCAACATTGAATCTTTAACAACCCATACAGTTCACGTAAGGTGTATTTTGCATTGGCCACGTCTGAGTGCACCCTAGCTTGCCACAATTCCGTATATGACCTGTTGAATTTCAACAGAGCAAACACAACAGAGAAACAGCTGCTACAAGACACCGCCATATCAGCAACACCGATCAGAGGAAAGATTTTTTCCTAAACAAATTAACAACAGCGGACCCACTCAGAACAAAGCTTATTTATTTCCATATCAAATATAAACGAGAAAATCAACTGTGGGACTCATGGGAATTTGCAGAATGCAATCCCAATAAAAGGAGATAAAAGATTTGGAAACCAAAACTAATATGGGGACCTTTAATAAGAGAGTGAAATGCTTTGTGTGCAGATTTTGTTCTCCTTTGTGTTTTTAAAACCCGTATTGTGTAGTTTGGAAGTAGTTTGTAGTAGTGGAAGATTTCATTTCAGACTGTATTTTTTAGTCTGAAATGAAATCTGCATTTAGTTTAGTGGAAGACCATTTCAGACTGTATTTTTTAGTCTGAAATGAAATCTTTCACTAAACTAAGCATTTAGTTTAGTGGCAGAGAAACTAAACAATTAGTTTAGTGGAAGACCATTTCAGACTGTATTTTTAAAAAGTTTTTATTTTTACTGTTGACGAAGTATCTGCGCTCCTACTTCAACCTCGAGGCGTTGGAGTTTTTTTTTTGGTGTGTTTTGATCAAATAATCTGTTTTGATATTTCAAAAGATTATACTTTGAAAATGATAAAAGATAAAGGCATTCTGTAAATGTTGCTTGATGCACTTTTCCTACTTTGACGCATTAGGTTTCAGAAGCTTACAGAGCGTGAGTACTTTCGCCACGTCTGATCCGATACTTTGACAACGGGGTGACATGCATAGTTTAAAGTTCACATCCTAATTTCTACACACTTTCAAAGCACGTGAAGACACGACTGCGCATTAGATACAGTAGTTTACCCAAATGGCTAGTAATGTTAAACAGTGTTAAACAAAAACCGCGAACGCTGTCGCATTAATGGGCTTCCATATATACATCCTGTGATGGAAGCACAATTTAGAGGGCAAAACATACTCCGGAACTGTGCCATGACTGAACCGTCGTCGCCTCCCAACGCTTCTCTCCACTCGTAAAAAAAAAAAAAAAAAAAAAAGAAAAACGCGAAACCAGTCAGACCAGTCTCGAGCAGACATGGCAGCCGACCGGACCGGTACAGCACTCGGGGAAAGCGGAGACGTTCATTTAATTGACGAAGAACCGTTTGAGGAACACGGCAGGTATGCCCCGAAGAGACATGCCCGGGTCACGGTGAAATACAACCGGAAAGAGCTGCAGAGACGGCTTGATGTGGAGAAGTGGATTGATGAGCGTCTGGACGTGCTCTACGCTGGTCAGGTGGGTGCGAGGAGGAGAGGCGGACCGGTGGCAAACTACCTGTGCTGTGCTGCTCTCTCTCCAGCTTAAAAAAAAAAACAACAACAACAAAAACAACCATTAGGTTTCTTATTGCTTTCTCTTACCTAAATAATTACCACAAATGTTGTTTTTGTATTGTCATTACAACTAGCTGGAGCTCGACGGTTTATGGGAGTATTTGACGGTCATGACAATCTCGTGAAACATGGAGTGTTCAAAGTGAACAGAGGTGGACACTGGGCAGGTCCTCTTCTCCTTAGAAGGCCAAGGACCCTGTCTAGCTGTAGTCCAATTCTCCCAGATCTGTATCTGTCTCAGGCCTTATTTCCTTACATGGGCTGTCTGGAACAGAGAGGCGCTTAAATGATGAGGAAAATAAGCAAGAGGAGGGAAGACAGGATGGAGAGAGATAAACATGTGAAACTGGAGGAGCCATTTGGATCACGTGTGAGGAGACGGATTCTTTTATTTTGAGCATAAAATCTTCTAATTGGTCTTGTGGCATTGATCCAAACCAGAATGGAAAAAAAGAATGGACCTGTAAAGGAGGACAATATGACACACAACAGTGCTGTATAGTAAAAATGAATCTGACCGCCCACCCCCCAATCCCCCAATCCCCATCTCAGGCAGACACAGACGATAAGTTGGTACAATAATTACAATGGCCATTTGTTCAACGAGAGGAGGCCTCTCTGGCACAGTTAGGCCGAAACAACAGTTTTATTATTCAATCCCGCAGTTTACACAAACGACTGACATGCAGTTTTCCAAAGTTTTCAGATAGTATTGAGTGAATAAAATGTCCTGTTTTTTTATGTATGTATGTGGGGAACTTTTTTCTTCTAACTTGATCCACCCAATGAAGAAAAAACAAAAACAATTAATGAATCATGAATTGTTTCAATTTGGTGTTATATTTATTGACAAAACAACCCAGTTGGTATTTTTCGAATAACTAAAAGCGAAAACATTAGTCAAAAGTTTGACTCTGATTGTTTGTTTTACTGAACCCCCCCCCCCACCCCCCACACACTCACACACGTTTTGATATGGATTGGCCTTTCTATGGTAACCTTTAACATGTTTGTGTCTTTTAGGAGGGAGATATGCCAGAAGAGGTGAATATTGATGACTTAATTGACCTACCTGATGACGTGGAGCGCATTAAAAAATTGCAGGTATATACATTTGTCTTTACTTTAAATTATTTCAGAGCGTTAGAGAGCTTTGATTGCTGATTTATGACATATAAAGCATGTTCTAAGCTTTTACACCAGTTTTTTTTTATTTTTTGACGAGCCCACATGACCTACATTAGAACATTACAGATTCATATAGAAAAGAGAGCATTGTGAGAACAAATGTCACAGAGTGACTAGAACAAGTCAAACGGTTGAATGACACAACATCAAATATTATTGCATCAAACATTATTATACTGCTTTTCTTTAAATATATTTGACTGTTAAGCACATCTTAGTGCATATTGGTTTGGTATTGGGTTGGGTTTACATGATTATGTTTAATGAGATGAAAAAACATGTTGGATACTAATGTCATTTTTCTTGTGCCCTGATTTTTACAGGAGTTGCTTCAAACCTGTAATAGTGACACAGAGGTAATATTTTGTTTTTTACATTGCATAACCAATCACAGTGCAACAATTTGATGGACATTAACATACATGGTGATTTTATTTTATCCATCCATCCTTTTTCTGTACTGGTCATCCTGTGGAAGGGTGTGGGGAGGGCTCGACTGGCCATCAAACGTAGCGGGCAGATGCCCGGTGGGCCAGCATCTTTTGCGGGTGTTGCGGTGCTGTTTAACCCTTTGATGCATAACATATGCACCCACTTCTAATGCACAACATGGGTCTAAAATGACCCGCATTCATTTTCCATGTTATTTCATCAGAGATGAAAGTCCTCCGGATTTTCCCGGAATTCCAGGTTTTTCAAATTTTTATGAAAATTTCTCCGGAGAATTGAGGAAAATAAAATTAATCATGATATTAGTTGACAACATTGGACGAAGACGCGTTTGAGTTCGTTGTATTGCTTTCACGAGCGTAGCCATATTGAGGCACTAACACTAGTAACAGTAAAGAGATTTTTGTTTGTGTAATAACGACAGAAGACAAGATGGCGTTTGACTAATGGTTTAGTAGAACGAATGGCAACTCGCAACAACAGTAGCAAGCGTCATTTTGCCACTTGGGTTATACCATCTCAACTAGAATGTGGGGGATAGTCCCCAAACAATTTTCGTCTCTTTATAAACACACCCGCTAAACCCCAGTGTAACGAATAAAAGACGCCGTCAACAAGACAGTTGTCGTAAAA